AATCATTATCGATGTTTCTTTTGGATTTAATAACATCACAACCAAAAAAATAAAAATAGTTGAGTATACTTAACCAATTTACAAAAAAAATGTTTCAGTAGCCATTTTTGAAACTATAATTTTACATTTTTTTTTTTTAAATTTATTCAGGATACATAGAAGATATATGATTCACATTTATTTTTTACGAGTTTCAAGTTGTATACCTAATACAACTACATTGCTTTTTTAAGAAACTCAAAAACTCACGAAACATTCACCTGTCGTCTATTATCTATGCTTCGATTWTAAAAATTCATATTATTTATCACGATTACCTTTACAGGTATAATATGTGAAATCTATTAGGAAGAACGAGTTGTATCAAATTGCACATTTAATAAAATAAACTGATTTCGTAAATGTTCRCGAAAGCTTCACGAAATAWAACAGTRATTTAATCTGCATTATTAATTTTACTGAGAATGTTCTTTTTGAAGATAGTTAGGTAGTACCTAAGGCGTTATACTTAGCATGGTTCATTAGGCACGGCTGCAATWTATCGAAACGAAATAGTTTTAGATGTTGCATGTTTCAGGAAATATCGACAAAAAATTATAATATTGATAATTAAATTAGGGAAAACAAATAATAATAATCGGCAAATTTTGAGCACACACAACTAATGAGTGGTTTCACATTTGATTACCATACAAACTATATTATTATTTTATTTATTCACTATAGAATAATAAGAAAATATTACATAATAACTATAACCGAACGCTCATTATTGAATTATGAAAAACTCGTTGAAAATGGAAAGTTATACCATCGAACAGACCTATTAGATAAAATGAATAATACACCTAATTATTCTATAGGTAGTTAACGTTTTAGTTTCACCCCGTTCTCATACTGTGTAGCATCACAATACTATCGGAGAATCATAAGTGTCAATTAACATTATAAATTATATTTTGTAATCGACTGTCCACTCTGTCTTGATCGATTGATTCAGGGACGATTATAATAATAGTTAAAAAAAAAAAACAGTTTTCATATCCGGTACACGAGACCAGTTTTATTTAACATTACATATTATAACATTTATAATAGTATAATATTATTATGTCAGCCAGCATCGTAACGTTTTGTGATTACGTTTGATAATAAATTATTGCTGTCATAATATACGATAAACCTACATACCTACTCACCGCCATCTGGAAGGTACCAGAACGGGTTTCATGGAGTGTATTGGCGCCAGCGTAGCGTTGCGGTACTTAGATTGTTAATAGACCGAATTTATGTTATTTTAATAAACACGTTAATTGTTAAGAAAATAATTTATACAAAATTAGTGTCGTTAGGAACACAATAATATATGTCTTTTAAGGAGGACCAAAAAATAGACTTGAATGGCTGCATTCGGATGGCGGGCCGCAGATCGGACCCTCCCTGCATTATATTTTAATAATAATTTGTTTAATGGATTTAAACATCCAAAAAAAAAAATGAATTATTTATATTTTAGTATTTTATAAGCTATTGCATATATATATCTGCTTAAACGTGATATAAATGATTTTTTTCTGGTAAATAGGTACAATATAATATGTATTATAAAATATAAAATTAAGTTAACTATAAAACTCTAATTTATTTTTTAGTGATGTATAGTGTTTTATGGTAAACTGTTATCAAATCGTATCCGTTTTTTAAAGTTTAAAAAAAATTGTATTAACATTTCAAAAAAAATCTAAAAAAAAAAAAAAAATGTAAAATGAAAGATTCATATTTAAGTTTTTTGATGTATATGCAATGAATTTTGTGGTTGTAATCCATATATTCGATGATTCAGACAAAAAATACAATTTAGCATTTATATCCTACATGCCCATTGCTATAATTTTCTAACATTTACTAAAAAGTTCTTCAATCTTATCATTAATTGGTTTATTGTCATCAAACATTCAAACTRTAATATATTATGTATATATTATAGTTTGAATGTTTGATGACAATAAAACCAATTAATGATATATTATATAATATAAAATATAAGTATAGCAATAATTGTAAGTGTTTTCGGGTGATAATAAAGACAAACTAAAAATGTTTTTAATTTAAGATCTATTTCGGAATCGATAATTTTTAATATCTTAAATACTATATAGTAATGTATCGTCTTCCAACAGATTATGTTTGACCTAAATGAAGCCGATCACTTTTTTAAACGAACCAAGACTGGAATCTAAATTTAAAATTTTTTTTTAAATTTTTAAATATTTTTTCACTGCACATAAAAATTCCATAACCATGAAATAAGTTTTAAGCAAAAAATATGCTAACAACACATACAACGTACACTTTATCCATATGGATACGGTCATTGGTGGATTAGTGAATGCAGTAGGTAACGACTAATGATGATTATACGGTAAATTGTCCGTATCACACCGATTACATCACACGGTCTTATCATCTAAACATTCTAAACGTTTATTTATTAGTTTATTACATTATATTATACACCCGTGCGTAATGATGGTAAATACCTATGTAATATTCATAATATTAGATAATAACAAAGTCATAAGATAGTAATAATTCGCCTCATTCGAAAGTGTTGATCAGCAACCAATTCGGATGTGTACCGCCTGTAATACCGGAAKACAATATTCGGATGTCGATATTTTTAGGTGTGGGAACCGATTCGGATGTATCAAGTCGCTTATACGCTCGCCGCAGTTTTGTCTTTGACATGGTGAAATCGATCGTCAAGCCACCGACGACAGTTATTCAGTGTATTGCGGTAACAGCGGCCGTCGCAGCCTAGTAGAATTAGTCATAATAGTAGGTATAGTAGTATGGTAGTAGTCTGGTAGTAATATTATGGTAGAAGAGTAGTAGTAGTAGTAGTACCTCGTATAGTTGTAGTAGAAGCAGTACTGTTACACTCTACTTTCACTGGCGCAACACCAAAACGGGTATCGAGACGATATAGCTTTCGACCGATCGTCCGCGACTCGGGCCAGTGTGATAAACTCGCGCACGGGCACGTCGCAAATACATTAATTTCAGTTGATGATATTCGCGCGGGCGTCGTTTTAAAATCGTCACCGTCGGAAAATTCGAATCGGAACACGTCCGCCGCCGCATACCTACCGTGGTCCTACGTCCGTAACCGCGGTTACCGAAAGTCGCCGATTTGAATTTTATCACGCAGCGCGAAAACCACCGACCGCAGTAAGTTAATCTCCACCGCCGGCAGCACGATGATGGACACGACCGTTACCACGTTCGTCTGGTTCGCTCTGTGCTGTTGCTGCTTCTCGTCTTTCGCCGTTCCGGTGCCCGACCGACGTCTACGGCAGACCGACCGCGTCGCCGCTGGTCCTGCGACGCCCGACCGCGTCGCCGCCGAGTCCGACCAGCCGTTCGATCCGACGCTGGACGCCTTGGCAGACGCCAAGTACGATGAACCCGCCTCCGACGACGACACCAAAAACAGCGGAACCGAAGACAGGGAGAAGCGGCAGTTGTCCTTCGTCCAGGGCAAGCTGTTGAATTTTCTGAAAGTACGGCGTGCGCGTAATATTATTATATTATTATAATTATAATCATCATGTGCACGACATGGGTGATGATGGGTTCTTACGACTCGGGTTTTGATTGGATACGCGTGATTTACCCGATCTCGATGTACGGATAATACATGTATATGTGTGTGTGTATATAACATTTATGCCGTTWKAAGCATACGTCATATTATTATTATAGTTATTACAACTTAAAGATTATTACGTGTTTACGATTGCGCGAATCACTTTCGTCTCTAAATAATCCTTTTTTTCAGTTGATGGGCGGCAATATTATGGTTGAGGGTGGGAGGAAGAGAATGGTCATACAATATATGAACCGATTAAATGGCTCACATGTTTCTACGCAACCAGTGCGTGGCGGGAATACGGCYGTAGAAGGAATATGATCCAATAAGTCCAAAACAGTGGGCTAAGGATATATATTATTTAATATTTCAATAACAGAATAATCTACCTAGGCTATCAGTACTAAATATTATTATAATAGGTACGCAATGAACATCACGTTTCTGTTTAGATTTCAACATTTTCATCCATTAATGATACTTTAGTATAACTTATGGATAGTAAAACTCAATGTTATATATTAAATAGACTTTTTATAATTATTGTTACGATCTAATTTCTAGTTCATATATATATTTCAAAATAAAAAACAGTGATGCAATTATATTCGAGCCATCTAAATAATACYGTRACTTGGTGATATCGATTCCATCGAATATMATTATATTATAAGATGACGCTTGTTTAAATATATATTTATAAAAAAATTCGGTTTTCGACACATATCTACCTATAATTTTACATATTATACAATGATAATTTTTTGCGAAAGTTTAGAATATTTTAATCACAAGAGAATTTACAGCTCAGTTTTGTTACCACATAGTACATTGATACACATTAATATCCATAGGTATATAACGCATACTTAAACTATTGTCATGGAATCATGATGTAATAATAAGAATACATGGYTTATCACGACTATAAGTTCTAAATAAATAACGTGCCTATTTTAGGAGATGGAGGGAAAAAATGTAATCTTCTTGGCTCTTGGGTGACACTTTTAGGAATGAAATTATGTATTAGGTATATATTTATATTATTGTATAATATGGATCAACAAGGATTATTATATTAATTATTCATTAATACACTTTAATACTTAARCATTATTACACTGGAGTAAACTTGAATAGTCATAATCAGGGCTAGGATTTGTATGCAACAGGCCAACAGCATGTTTTTTTGTTGCGACTTCTGATTGTTGATTTTGTCAGTAATGTCCAAGAATCACCTCATGATGAGATAAATGCTGGTGTTTTTATTTTGCATGTTTTTGCATATTTTGGGTAAAATGCATATTAATGCATATATTGAAWAAAATTAATATTATTGCATATTTCCATTATAAGAATGCGAAAAATGCATGTTTTTATAGTATATTTCATAATTAATATTTATACTTTAATATTAATACTTCGTATTTAATTCTAGCTCAGCTGATTAAAGTATTAAACTTGATTTTTTTGTCAAACACAAATTTTATTTTTATCAATACAATCCTATGGTACAATAGGTATGCGATTAAAGATTRAATAGTTTGACGGAGAAAGATAAACACAATTAATACAATTATGTCGGTCAATATAAAATCTAAGATAGAAATTAAAATGCATACTTTTGCATATTTTGGTAAATAAAATGCATATTTTACAATTTTTTATTGCATACAAATCCTAGCCCTGGTCATAATAATATATTATCCTGGTGAATTGCTGAGTAGTTGTGATTTGAAATTTCTTAGCARTTATCATAATTTATATTCATATTCACCACATTACCTAACCAATACTTGATTGTAGAAAACTATATCGAAGCTAAGTTCTTCAAAAATTATTTAAGAGATTGTAACACAATCTGCATTCAATTTAAAATGTATTAYATCAGTATATTTTATAGGAGTAGGTAATATATATTACGCATCTTTTTGAGTGATTTTGCTGAAAAAGAGAAAACACTTATTATCTCAAGCCACATTTTAAAATAGATCGAGTATAATATATTTTACTTTTTATATGGTATGGAAACCGTCTATAATTACTTATGTTATTAGCATTCGTYCGATTTTGTTATAATTATTCATCACTTGTGTTTTAATAGTTGTATGGCCCCGAAAAAAAAATTAGTAATTTAGAATAATGCGACTAGACGATAAAATCCCCAAATGAGGTGTATATTTTAAAGTACTTTGCACACCTCCGTCAAAGCGTTTAAATCGCATTTACACATTGTATTTAATTGCTATCATGTTAATCATAATTCGTAAGTCTTCTTAAGGCCATCACATAAATGTTTATTATTTACAAGTTGATAGTTATTTTWAACATTATATTACCAATATTATGGTATCATATTATACTATTATAATAATGTACTGCACAACAATATATGAATAATGTAAATCATCAATATTGTATATATGCCACAATTAGGTAGATAAATAAGACTTGTCTAAAATAAAAAWAAAAATACGAGTACTATTTAATTATAGTATGTTATTATAATATTATGTTAAATTATTATTCATTATCATTTTCAGTACCACCAGTGAATGATTTCTCCTATTAAAAGTTTTAATTGTGTATATTTTACCCTTTTCAAATTGACTTGTTACTGTTCTCTACACAGTAAATGAAAATAATAATATCATGTGGAGRAAGGGCATTTACCATTAGCTCTGACTCCACTGGAATAATATTTAGTTGACCGAGCACACTGATAAATTAACACATGATTTATATGGCGGATGATTGACCTACCTATAGACACATTTTCACATAGGTAATACTCGATTATACTAATATGATTTAAACAAATMTAACATATTTTGTCTTTGGTAGATAATATACAAATTATTACTGTAATAGGCAAATCATATAGTTTTGTAGTTACGTAACAAATGTTGACAATGGTATGAAATAATAATAATAAMTGTATGTATGTATATACATGTACATGTACGTATAATATTATAATATTATTATGATTGTATTTGCAGAAGTGTCTATATCAACTTTCACGCGCTGAAACTGGTAAAAGAGTTACGCAATTATATAATAAAAACAAATAATACTTTTTGCATTTGCAAAAAATTAATAATATTATAAAAACAACATAATATAATATGAAAAAAGTACATAAYTTGACGGTGTTATATTAACCGATARCTTAATGCAGTAAATTTGGTCATATAATGATGTATAATGATACATTTTTGAGTGATAAATAATAATGTCTTTAAATTGTTACAGYATCAGACTCATATAATAACGGAAATGAAAAATCAACTATAATAATTTGAGTTTACAATTTTAGTCATAAATAATTCACTTATCGACACGAAACGTGATACCTAATATATTATTTTTTTTTTTTACTATATACCTATTATTATAGGTAATCGTTTGGATAAGTCTGTGCAGAGCTTAAAAAAAATAAAAGAGAGAAAAATAAACAAAATAATATAAATGTCCGTTATTATTTTGTTACAATTGACAATTTATTGTTTGTGTAGTGCCTAAGTAATAATATTGTTTAAAATAAAGTGAATAATAAAAYTCGCATTAGACTCAATTAAACAAGTGGGTACACTGTCCAATCAATAGAATACATTATTTACAAGTTCTGAATAATGAAAATATCTTATTAAGACAACTAAAAATGTTAAATTAATAAATTAYGGGTATATAGATAATCGGTACCTGAAAGTTAGTAGCCAATAAATTATGTCAAAGTATGTTTTTATCTACAATATTGAAAGAATTAAAAAATATTATATCAATAAGAATTTTGTTTAATTATGGATTAATAAYTTGCTTATAATAATAAGTGAATATTGTTTTTACTATTATTATACTTATGCAACACGCTTCTCTATCGCTAAATAATATATTAATAATACTCAGCGAGTAGGTAAATAACATTGTTATACAGATTTTTACATTAAATAACAGATAAATCGGTTGTTGTGAACAAAGCTTGATGTAAATCTACATGCATTTAATTACATTTATGCAATACCTATATTGATATTCTTTAAAAGAACAAAAAATGTTAAAATTAAATTATATTACATAATTACTCGTAATTATAAGTAATTTTTCACTGATTTTTGTACATTTATGATCGTAGTGGATTGAACTATTTTACTGAATATTTATATTTGCACTAAACAATTATTTCGTTATAATCTTTACACTATAGGTACTTGATTAAAATTTTATAATCATAAATCTTTTTAAATCTAAAAAATAACTACACTGAGAATGATTTATAAATTAAATTGTTAGCTATATTACTATAAACAATATCAAATTAATCATAGTTTAAAAAAATTCAATAAATTCTCCCCTCAGTATATTACAATAAACACACACTGTGATTACAAAAATAAAATTATTCAATAAAAAAAAAAGGATAAAGAGTAAAAATATACAGAGGTAAAATATAAATATTATATAGTAATAATAATGAATAATATGGTTATGATTAACGATTGAATAAGTAATAAATAACAACATGTAAGACTTTCAAAATTGAATTACCTATTTATCTGTATAATATTATATTATACTAATAAAACTACAATCTACATCACATAATAAATAGTACTACATAAGTATTTACCATATAGTTATATAAACTATAATATGTGTTTTGATTTAATAAACCAATTATCGAGAATTAATTATATTATCTCTAGAATAATTTTTATCCGTGTTTATATTAAATTTCTTGCCCGTTTTAATATTATGTGCGTCACGTGTGTAAATCGAAGTCATGTTTTCGTTGTACTTTGCTATTATTATAAAATCATGGATATGATACTAATCAAATATATATATATATATATTTTAATTGACAAATGATTTCAAATATATTATGCAATATAAAACTCAATTTTGAGTATCATGTGTATCAGACTATTATTACAGATGATATCGTATACACAATATGAACTATATAATTGGTATAAATACACGGTGTCGCGTAAAGTTTTGTGTTATCGATTAAAAAAACATAATGAGTAAATAATTAGTAGTAATCGTAGACTTTATAGTAAACTATTTGTGAAGGGCAGATCATTTAGATTATGCATTGAGGCAATATGAAGGTCCTACAAAAAWTAAAAATAATCATATTATTTATTAGGTGATTGGTAGGYAATATAAAAGTTTAATAATAATATAATTAGTCTTATATTYCCATTTAGTTAGGGTATTTATGACTAACGTGTTTRTTTTATTATATTCCTGCACACTAAAGACCAAATCATAATTATGTTTGGTATAAMAATGATCAAGTGTTTTTGAATTTTTTAACTATAARTTCATTATTTTTGTATTTATGTAATTAACATACTATTATCCTATTCATGAACTTTATTATAATATTATGTTATAGCCATTACCGGTGGTCGATGTGACTAAAGAAGATGAAAAATACGGCAACGATGGTGACAAGTTTAATAGGATCGGAAGAGGTCTTATCGGCGGTGTGGAAACCGTGTCCAATATGCTGACCTCGGCGCTTTCGGTAAATATGACTCGTAACCTTGCAGTACTATTAAGACATTCAAAATCGTTTTAACATGTTGGTTTAATTTAATCGGAAATGTTTGAGAAAAAAAAACACATGATGATATGTAAATATAAAATTTTCTAGTTGTCGACGTTATTCGATTTCACTTAAAACTAATAGATTTGTTTGATTTTAGTATGTATTATAGACAYACGTTTTTAATTTTGAAATAAAAAAATATTAAAAATGTATGCATCGACACAATAATGTTATCATTTACATCTGTAACGCCAACGACCGTCGACCGATCGATTGTAAACAAAAATTTCAATATACAGCCTTAAGACGTGTCTACCACGTGAATATATAGCTTTTATTTTCCTCAAAAATGACCATTTTTCATAACATGTTTTCTTAAAATCTAATTTTTGAACATATATCTATTTTGTACAGGAGAATGGTGATTTTTYGCGTTATTTAAACACCTAATGATAATAATAATTTATATTAATATTCATATTTTTCATATTTTTCACTTGTAAAAATGTTTGAGGGTTACACCGYAGAATAAAACAATTGAATTAAATGTTGTTTAAAATTTGTATGGCAATTTATGCAACTAACAATATCTTCGGTAGCCTAATTAATWACAAATAATTTTTTTAAATCAGTAAAAAAAATAAYTAAAATTTAGAGACACAGAAATTCTTGTCTGGGGAAAACACTATGTGACGAGTGACGACGCATTGGAGGTTACCTATAACACTTATGATATCGGTATTAATCAATGAATATAGTTTACAAACAAAAACTGTATATTTATTAAAGTTTTATAAATCTGATTATTAAGTCGTAATACCTAATATAAATTATTTTAAGCCACAGTTAGAGAAATTTTTTTTATTTATTTACTATTAATGAGGACTGAGGAGTTAGATTTCTCATCAATATTTGGTTTCATGAAATATGTTTGAGTAATATTTTGAGATGGCAACCTAAAGAAAAAAAAATAATTACAAAATACAAACGTGACAAAATCACCTTTTCTTTGTATCTAAGCACTACTTACTATATATTGTTACTTTTTTCCAATAATTTACTCTTCTATAAAAATAAAATATGTATAGAGCGTGTAATACCACGATTTCAATAGCGCCATGTGTGGTGGTTTATGTATTTCGTCATTTACTAATTAAAGGTGATTTATGTTTGAAAGTAGCTGTGTATTTTATAACTTAAAAAAGATAATAATATGACTTTCATAAATGAAATTTAGGTCAAGATAAACGTTGAGCATTGATTAAATTACGACGTGTTAAATTTGATGTTCCATCACTTGTATGAATTATATAGTATTCAATATTCTAAATAATTTATAAGTGTGGCATAATTGATATTAATATTTTTTTGATATTTAGACTAAAGCACTTGTCGCTAACATTAGGCATGGCTAAAAAAGGYCAATTTACTCATGAGTCTACCTGTTATGTATTTAATAACCATCTAAWTAAATTTTAAATTTGCTTTATATTTAATTAGGTGATTCCCRTGCACTTCGTTTACCGTTAAAAATATCAACTCTATATGATTCAAAATTTGTATATAATTCGTCGTTTAATACCCGGCTAGTCATGTTCATAACTTACAGTAGGTAATAGATTCCCGCGGAGTTACAAATTTACAAAAACTCTTAAACCCAAAATGAATAATGAGAAAACAATAATAAATAGTTATAATTGCCTAATAAATATTCCATCTTAGAT